AGCGAACTGCCCGCTGATAAACAGATCCTGTTCATCACCATAGTGCGATCAGCATCGCACAGTCACTGCCCTCATATTCGACCCGTCTTGCGACGAGTTCAACACCGTCAACGGTACCCTCGACACGTTGTCAGAGCAGAGAAGAGAGTAGCATCATTCAGGATTGCTATCAGGGCAGTGGTTCTAAGCGGGACCATTGCATGGTAGCGGAGCTATCAAGCTCCACGGACTACAGATTCACGGATATAAGTTCATCGTTTGAGCCATGGCGGAGAACAACAATAACAACGATGACATCGTACCGAAGTGGAACGGAGATCTCACCACGGTGGACGATTACGAGAGAGACGTCAAAGCTTACATCCGAGGAACCCGTCGAGATGAACGATATGTATGCGGCCCTCGTTTGTGGAGACGACTGGAAGGTCGAGCACGACAAGCAGCCAAGGATGTGGACTGGGACCGCATTGAGAGAGACGACGGTGCAGCTGAGCTACTGCGACACATTCGTGCCAAGCTCGGAGCTCAGCCCATCCAGGATGCAGGCAAATATCTGGCCCGATGGATCTTCGATCTTCGTCGAGACACTGGAGAGCCAATGCCGAGCTATATAAGCAGATACGATGAGGCCTACCACGACGTGGTCAAGGGTTTCGACACCGAGTATTTCAAGAAGCAGCGCACGGCCCGGCTGTCGGAAAGGTCAAAGGAGTGGAACACCCTCTACTCGGAGCTCAACTGGTTCTTGTACAAGATCGAGCAGGAGGGCCCGGAGGACGCCGCCGACAAGGCCAAGGAGTTGAACTACCAGCTCTGGAACTTCACCAAGACTGGACTTGAGGAGTCCCTGAGCATCCAGATTTCGGAACCGACTTCAACCAGGCGATTCCTCTTGACCAGCTGCGCGGATGGCTACTGCTGCAGAGATCAAGACTTTCCCCGACGGAGCGTGCGGCAGTTATCAGCGCAGTCAAAGGCAACTTCGACTACGACAGCATCGGCGAGCAGCTACGAGTATCTTGGCCAGATGACGAGCTGACGAACAGAGATAAGAAGCACGGCAAGGACAACCATCGCCATCGCGAGCGAGGTCGGATCCATGCCGGCTGGGAGGAGAACAGCGAGGACGACGACGACTACAGCTACTACGATGGCGACCAGTCGGAGGCCACCTATGAGGACGCGGACGGCGACGAGGACGAAGGAGATCCCGAGGAGCCGCTCTACAGCGCCCAGGAGATCGAGGAGGCCGAGACCGCGTTCGCCGCCCAGCAGCGCAGTTTCGAAGAAGCTCGAGATCTACTCCGACGAGTGAAGACCGCCAGGAAGTTCTACCCCGTGGATGAGAACAAGAAGCGAGAAGGACGCGGAGCACAGCGCAAGTTCCAGGGACCTCGAGCTGGATCCCGAGGCTCTGGATCATCGAAAGGACGAGGCCGAGGGAGCGGACAACGACGCGATGTACCACCCCGACGTGATGGAGATCGCTCCCAGGGCCGGCCGCCCCGTAAGGGACCCTGTCTGAAGTGCGGCGGCAATCACGAGACTAAGGATCACCGAGACCGCGGTTCCTCCACCGGCAGCAAAGATCGTGAACGACCTAAGCGAGGTTTCGGAGCCTACGTGTTCTTCGGCGCCGAGCAGGACGCCGAGATGGAGGCGAATCTCATCAGGAACGAGACCTCGCGCCTGGAGCTGGAGACGACGCTCAACAATAAGCCAGTGATCAAGAATCGACCGAAGCTTCCGAAGAAACAGCTCGAGAAGACGATGTACCTGGAGGCGGAGAAATCCATCGAGAGGCGAGGGCAAGTCCATCATGTGAAACTACCGAGCTGGCCAACCCTGGAGAAGCTAGACGACTGGATCCTCATGAGTGTGAAGCAGAGCTCCTCCAAGGGCTTCGGTATTCTGGACATCGGCGCGACCTCCAGCATCATGGGCATCGAGGCTGCCGAGAATCTACGCGATATCATCTATGAGCAGACGGGCAAAAACATCAAGATGGACGTTAGCCAGAAGAGTACCTTTATCTTTGGAGATGGCAGCGCCAAGACCTGCACCGGCAAGGCAACCTTCCCTCTTATGATCGCCGGTGTGGACGGCGAGCTCGAGATAAACATCCTCGACGCAGATGCCCCGCTCTTGATCGGAGTGGATGTTTTGAGCCGCCTAGGAGCTGTGATCGACTGCGAGGCGCATTCTGTCTACTTCAAGAAGCTCGGGCGCCGAGCTGAACTGCTCGTCCTTCCGAGCGGTCATCTTGCACTGCCACTTGTTCGACAAGCCGATTTTGGCTTCGTGGCATCTCTCGAGTAGGGGTCCACGCCCTCGACACCCGAGACTGCTACGGTGCCGGAGGGAAAACATGAAAAAGAGCAGCCGATCAAAAGCGAGAACGATAAACCGTCTGCAGTGGTGCCCCAGGAGTTCCCCGACGAGGTCCCAGATAATGGAGCCCTACAGGCCCCAGGTACATCATCATCATTTACGAGTACGGGGGCACCATCACCAATTACGCCTACAGCAACATCATCATCATTTACAAGTACGGGGACATCATCAATTACGTCGGGGACATCATCACTTACGTCAGGGACATCATCCGTATCAGCCCCGACTCCATCACCTACGGCATTATCGGGGTTATCTCCAGAGGCCTTCCCTGAGATCCCAGAGTTTCCAGAGCTCCAAACAGAAACATCCCCGTCTCCAAGAGCCATTTTTGGTGCGAACGATTCGAGCTCAGAGCTCCGATTTCAGCAACCAGCTATTCTTCCATATTCGAGCCCTGAGCTCCGACAACATCCAGTTTGTCCTACATATTCGCATGAGCCTCAACCGCGAGGCGAAATGTCGCAAAGCAGAGAGCCAGCAGATCAAGCTGGAGAACGAGGAGATGGATGGCCCATGGGAGCAGGTGGATGTTCGGGCCCCGCTACTGGACTCGGGATCATCGGCGACGACCTTCACGTCGACGTCGGCAAGGCCTACACTACAACGGATGCAGCCGCAGGGGCGACTGATCGCTCATCAGGACGTGAGGGGTCACATCTTCTACACGGTCGAGGGCTCGGAGCTGGACAACAGCATGAAGCGGATGACGGACACCTTCCTGCAGGAGCACCTACCGAACTGGGAGATGTGGTCCAGCAAGCTCCTCCAGCAGTGGACGCAGTGCCGTCGCTGGGGACGAATCATCCAGAAGGTCTTCATCAAGACGATCGACCGTGTGAACTGGAAGCTGGACAGCCTCGGACTACCTGTGCAGTTGCTACCCGAGAGGTACCCGACCTGGCCGGCGGACATCGAGCATCGTGCGAAGATCGAGCCGTGCCAGCCGTGCACGGAGCCGAAGCAGCGCCCCCTGTCCCAGAAGTCAGCAGCCTCAGCAGCCGCGCGCGAGCAGAATCAAGAGCTGCGAGCCACCATCGAGACCGCAAAGTCAGAATTCTTGACCAAGTTTGCGGAGGTGGATGCGTTTGCAGCGCTGAGCTCGGAGCAGATCCACGAGCAGCTCAGCATGGTCACGTTGGTCAACCATCTCAAGCCGCTGTGCAAGATGTGGGGACTGACCCAGACTGGCAAGAAGGAGGAGGTGATCGACAAGATCATCGCGTACATCATCGAGCAGCGCGGCACGGCGGCAGCGACTATCAAGATCAAGAAGGAGACGGAGACCAAGAAGATGGAGACGACGGCCATGCCCGTGGGCCCGGCGATCTCAGCTCACTACACTCAGATGTGCCAGCACCCGGACTGCAAGCTACGCCGAGGCATCGCCAAGAACGAGCCGATCGTGAAGGTGAGGCTCTACGGTTGGTGCCACCAGGCGTGTGCGGTCAAGACGAAGGCCTGAGTGAGGTTCAGGCCGAGAGGTCTCGGTGGCGCGGCGACGAGAGCAGGCCGCTGAAGGGCCACCAGCGCCAGGCGATACGGGCAGCTACACATACGACGAGGTCGGCCATTTTCGGAGCTATGTGCGCCCTCGCAACCTTCGGCCGCCTGACGATGGTCGAAGCGTGCACCCACGAGGACTCGAATCTCGGGAAGGTGTGCGACGAGAAGGGCTACCACTACGAGCGGCTCGGCCTCTTCAACGAGAACGACCTCAGCAAGCCGCAGGGCTACCACAAGGCGAAGTTCCTGCTAGACGAGAAGCGCCCGGAGCTCTTCGTCAGTACACCACCTTGCGGTCCATGGTCGATAATGCAGAACGTCAACCAGCGCAACGATCAACAGAAGGAGAACCTTCGCAGGAAGCGGCTCAAGAGCCAGCGGATCTTCGAGAACAACAAGAGGCTCATCGAGCACCAGGTGTTCAACCTGAACGGCTCGGCCCTCGCCGAGCAGCCCCACAACAGTCGGTCGTGGCAGAAGACCTGCTGGAAGGATCTCCACAAGATCCTACCGTACGAGGTGATCGTGGATGGCTGCGCCTGCGGACTACGAGCCCCTGACACGGGCGAGCTCATGAAGAAGCGCTGGAAGTTCCTGACGAATGACAGGAGGATCTGGGTAGCCCTACAACCTCTACAGTGCCGTGGAGGACACTACCACGAGGAGATAGAGAGCAGCTTGAGGACCGAGGCCTCGGGCTCCTACCCCAAGATGCTGTGCCGCCGGATCCTCAGGGCTCTGACCAAGAGCCAGAACCAGAACTACTTCGAGGACGAGGTTGTGAACTGCCTCTGCATGGCAGCTACCCAGCAGCCACCGACAGAGCCTACGCCAGAGGAGGACGAGCCGTCTCTTCCACCACAAGACGGCAAGGAAGCGCACAACCTCACCAACGAGACGGTCAAGAAGCTCGAGAGCTACATCAGATTGGTCCATACCAACCTCGGACACCTACCTCGAGCTCATCTACTACGATACCTTCGCGACCGTGGCGCTCGACCAGAGGTGCTACGTCTGGCCAGAACCTTCAAGTGCGACATCTGCGACGCACATCGACCACCTACTAAGCGGCCACCAGCCTCATCAGCAGAGCAGCCCCAAAACGGTCACGAGGTGCTTTTCGACGCTTTCTCGTGGATCCGTCGCAGCACGAACACGAACGTGATGGCGCTGGCGATACTCGACGCCGGCTCGGACACCCTCTACGTGCGGCTGATCGACGAGAAGCCGATCCCGGGTACGACTCGACAAGTTCGTGCCGGCGACCTTCGGCATATCTTTGCTACAAAATGGTTCCCCTGGATGGGACGCCCGAAGGTCATGCGCTATGACCCTGCCGGCAGCGCCATCTCCGACGAGTTCCGCGAGTGGATCGAGGGCCAGGGAGTCTACTGTCTCCCATGCGCGGCCGACGCCCACTGGCAGATCGGCAAGATCGAGCGCGCCATTGAAGCCTTCAAGGAGGCCCTCGACGCTTTCGACGAGATGGTCTCAGCCGAAGTACCCACCAGCGAGATGCTCGGACTCCAGACAGCGGCCAGGAACGACCTGATCAGGATCGACGGGTTCAGCCCGCTGCAGCGCTACGCGGGACGGACGCCGACTGGGACGACAGTCAACCTGTCGGACGAGCCGAACAACCTGCCGCTCATCAGTGCCGAGCTGCAGGACGGTACCTTCAGCAGGGACGCCCAGGTACGACGGATGGCGCGGCTGGCTCACATCCAGACCGAGAACTCTGACCGAGTTAAGCGAGCGGAGGCCGCGCGCTTCAGGTCCTTCAAGAAGTACGAGACGGGCGATCTGGTTTTCGTCTACAGGCGGCTCCCACCAGGGGCCTGGCGCAAGAAGGGACAGCCTCGCTCAATGCCTGGGCGAGGACGCTGGTACGGACCTGGACGAGTACTTTGTCACGAGCCAGCGAGCTCGGGACACCGACCTGGTCTACCTGGGACGGTGGTCAATATCACACTGGCTGGCCGCCTCTACCGAGTTGCCCCCGAACAACTTCGACCTGCCACGCCTTCTGAGGAGGCGATGGACTCCCTACGCTCGCGCCGCGAGCAGCCGGGGACCTGGACCTTCGGCGATGTCCAGAAGCAGCTCGACACTAACGAGGTGATCGACTTGTCGAACGAGTCCCCGCCCACTGGCGAGGATTTGGCCGCTGATGACGGTGAATCGGTCAGCGCCCGCACCTTCGAGAGCAACGCGAGCGGACCCTGGGCCATTTCTGAGGACGATGATCTTCCTGTTCCACAAGGAGACCCTCGTAGTCTTGACCCAGGAGGCGGCGGAGGTGGTGGAGCCTTGGCGGCGCCACCGGGACTGGAAGAGCGACCTCTACCTGGACCGCGACCTCCCAAGCGTATGCGGAAGAAGGGTAATCCCTGGAACGAGGCGACCGAGGTCCAGGAACCTCTCATCCAGCCAGCTCAGCCAGAAGTTCCACCAGGCATTCCACAGGAAGACGGCCACGAAGCTGGACTACCCGAAGAAGCTGAGCAGCCCATCGAGGAGGAGATCGTCATGGAAGCCCCTCCCGGCGACGACCAGGAGGAGCGCGCGTCGCAGCGGCCCATCGAGGTGGAGACTGACGATGACCTCGACGATATCTCGGCGCCCGACGTGAACGATAAGCGCCGGATCCGAGAGCCCGGCTCAACCGAGCCCCCGGCTAAGAAGCAGCGGGTCAACGCTGCGACCCAGGAGGCCTTCTCCTACTACCTGCAAGAGGGTAACTTCTACAGCGACTATGCCTACAGTGTCCAGCAGTACGACGATATGAAGGAGAACGACGAACTCATCGTGCTGGACATCCCTGTCAGCAACGAGCATGCGTTCATGGCCTACATGGACGACCCCAGCAACTTCGTGGCATCGCAGGCCCGCAAGGGCCGAGTGGAGGTCTCATTTAAGAAGGCGACGCCTGAGGAGAAGAAGCTGCTACTCGAGGCCCAGCAGAAGGAGTGCACCTCAGTCCTCAGCACGAAGGCCGTCAGGATCCTCAGCCGACAGGGGATCGCCCCTGCGCGCCTGCTGCGCTGCCGCTTCGTGCTGACCTGGAAGAAGGATGACCAGGGGAACGTGCTACGAGGCAAAGCCAGACTGGTCGTGCTCGGCTTCAGCGACCCCGACCTGCTGCACCTGCGGACAGAATCACCAGTTGCCTCCAGACGTGCACGTCAACTTCTACTGGCCATGGCAGCTAGACACAAGTGGAAACTGGAGAAGGCCGATGCAGTGACAGCCTTTCTCCAGGGCGAGACGGACGAGGAGAAGAGGAAGATCTACGCGGACCCGCCTAAGGACGTGCGTCAGGCCTTCGGCATGAAAGACGACGAGGTCCTGCAGTTCCTCAAGCCTATGTACGGATTTGTACATGCTCCTCGCAAATGGTGGCTCCATTTCAAGGACACGCTCAAGACGCTGCAGCTGGAGGTGATACAGTGCGAGCCGTGCGTCTGGGTCATTCGAGACGGCACGAAGCTGGTCGGCATGGTTATCCTACACGTCGACGACATGATGATCGCCGGCGACCATCACAACTCGGCCTTCCTCAAGAAACGACAGGAGATACAACAGGCCTTCGAGTGGACACCTTGGGAGAGCCGAGCGTTTGTGCAGTGCGGCATCAGTATTCGACAGAATGAGGACTACACCTGCAGTCTCGCACAGGACAGCTACAGCCTGAACGTGGAGCCCATCAAGATACGACGTGGACGCAAGCCCACGGAAGGAGTTTCAGACAAGGAGAGATCAGATCTACGAGGCCGACTTGGTACAGTCGGATGGCGAGCTCAGCAGTCGGCCCCGTGGCTCAGTGCAGAAGTCTCTCTACTTCAAGCGGAGATACCTACGGCGACGGTCTCTACCATCCAGAAGATCAACAAGCTGATCCGCACCATGAATGACACTGCCGACGTGGTCATGCTCATCCCGGCCATCGAGCAGATCGCTGTGGTTGGCTGGGGCGATGCTGCCTGGGCCGCTCGTATCACTGGCGAGTCCCAGGGTGGCGAGATGATCGTGCTGGCACCACTGTCTTTCCTGAGTGGCTCGACAGAGACGGTAGCGCCTATCTCATGGAGATCATGCAAACTACCGCGAGTGGCCAGAAGCAGTGCGAGTGCGGAGGTTCAGATGATGACAGAGACCCTCGACGAGATCAGCTACGTGCGCCTGTTCATCTACGAGCTGGAGTGCGGCCAAGTGGACTACACCAACAAACAGCACGTGAACGACGCCATCTCATCCTGCCCTGGCGTACTGGTCACAGACGGTAAGTCGGGCTACGACGCGATCGAGAAGAGCGAGTCAGCTGGTCTCGGCCTACGCGATAAGCGGACGAGCATCGAGTGTCTAGGCATTCGACAGCAGAAGGAGCAGACGGCCCTCCAGATACGCTGGGTCCACAGCGATGCCATGCTAGCCGACGGCCTCACCGAGGATCGAGCCGCCAAGGTCTTGCTGGAGTTCTTCCGGTCAGGTCAGCGCTGGAGACTCGTGGACGACCCCCTGCACCGCAGTGCTAGGAAGCGCAAGACCGAGGGCATGGACAAGCTGGAGGGGCATGGACAAGCTGGACCACGGCAAGCCGTTATCAGCAGATGACGATGAAGCTATGCTGGAGGCCCTGATCTACTTCGCTCGCGACAATCCCTACGAGCAGGAGACCCCTGCCGGAGATATAGCCCTTTGGGGCACTGTGAAGCCTCTCACGCGCTCTGTGCTTTCTGTGAATTCAGTTGCCAGAGGCAGGTCTCGATGCCGTAACATCGATCTTTAGCTTTTGGGCATGCAATTCACAGCCCCGAGCCTGCCTCACTAGAGCCTACTTACGACAGATGGCCTCTAGAGGCCGTGCGTGATATAAGCTTCAGGCTCCAAAGGAGCCCCATGTATGTTAGCCAAGCGTTCCCCGGCGAATCGGGTCCCTTAAGACTCCAGGTTTCAGCAAGCCTTGCTTAGTAGGCACTCCGTTCCCCTAGCAACAAGTTGCAACAGATAATTCAAACAGAACAGGTTCATCCGAAACCGTTCTGGCTCAAGCCTTTGCAGCGTCTCAGCGACGCTGGACTTCTGGTGTGCGTCTGAGAGACGCAGGACAGCGAACTGCCCGCTGATAAACAGATCCTGTTCATCACCATAGTGCGATCAGCATCGCACAGTCACTGCCCTCATATTCGACCCGTCTTGCGACGAGTTCAACACCGTCAACGGTACCCTCGACACGTTGTCAGAGCAGAGAAGAGAGTAGCATCATTCAGGATTGCTATCAGGGCAGTGGTTCTAAGCGGGACCATTGCAAGGAGGGGGGGGGGGCGAGAGGGGAGGAGCGAGGGACCAGGAGGGGAGAGGGGAGAAGCGGGGGGAGAGGGAGAGACCAGGAGGGGAAGAGGGAGAAGCGAGGGACCCAAGGAGGAGAGAATGAGGAGGGGGGGGGGCGAAGGGGAGGAGGCAAAGGACCAGGAAGGGAGACGGGCAAAGAGGGCCCCAGAGATCCAACGCATGGAACAGAAGTCAAGGCGGAGTTGTTTCGCAGATTCCAGCCTCGGGGGGCCCTCGCCGGGCCTCGGGACCGTCAAGAAACGATTCAGGATGAAGAACTGGTCCTGGGGAATGGGTCGAGACTTCCGGGGACCGCGCATGGAAAAAATCACGACACCAGATCTCTCTGGGAAGGGGGGTGTCCAGGGAGGACCGCGCGCCGCAGGAGGTGCGCCTGTGCCTATAGGCTCCGGCCGGGTGGCGCCGGGGCCCTCTCTCTGGAGAGGCCCAGGCCGGATTGCCACCTGCGCCACCAGTCGAGCCCAGAGGCCGAGAGGCGTAGCCGCCTCCCCCTCCCCGGACGCCCCCTGGCGCAAGGAGACGTCCTCAGAGATCCGACGCTCCCAAAAGCATTGGAGCGTCAACAACAAGGGGGGGCCTCATTGGAGCGTCAACAGCACTGGAGCGTCAACAACATTGGAGACGTCCTCAGAGGTCCGACGCTCCCAAAAGCATTGGAGTGGCCGGTGTGGGCCCATTTTTGGTCTCCGAGGGGCCCTCGCCGAGCCCCAGGGCCGTCAACAACAAAAAAGCCCGAGCGGAAGAGCGGCCCGAGGGAAGTGGTTCAGACCTCTGGGGCCCAGCATCGAAACAGTTTGAGCGGCCGGATGTCTGGGAAGACGTAGCCTAATCTTTGCAATAGCACGATGACGACGTAGCCTCGTTGAAGTCTCCGTCTTTGCAGTAAGGATAAGACACATGGGCGGTTTGGTTCGATACAATTGCAGAGAAGACGCCCTATCCCGGACCTATCCCCAATGGTTTTGGCCCTCCTAGCTGAGGCCCCCTCCCAAAGGGTTAGGGGTCCTTGTACTGCTGATCGTGGACGGCGTTCGCTGTTTTCGGCCTACAGAGGCCATCGCCGGGCCCTGGGACCGTCAACAAAAACGACTCAGGATGAAACGCCGGGTCCTGGGGAATGAGTCGAGACTGCGGGAGACCCCTCCTCTCAAGCAGTGGCATAGCGTCCTGGCTCGCCTATAGATCTACCAAGCAATGTTCTAAGAAGCTTTTGGTGGTTTCCACGAAATGTTCTTAGAACATTTCTGGCGGAGTCTGTCTTGTCTGCTCAATCCTCGCTAAAAGATCTCAGCATCGGATCTCTGGAGCAATTCCGGGCACGGCAGCGAACCACAACCAGAGTGAAGCGGATCCGTCCGCGGCGCCCCTCGGGGGAGACCCCACCGACCTCGGCACGAGCTCTCTTCGGCTGCGGTGGTGGGCGATCTGGCCGTCTGGGACGCCCACACCGACCACAACCAGTACTACAGTCAACGCGCATAGTAAGGACAAACGACTTTTTCAAGGGTACCCTTGGGTCCTTGCCTGCCTCAGCCTCTGCGGCCCGTCCCTAGCAATTTTCGCAGGCCAGTTTCTCAGGTTCCCTGGGGGTTTGGCCGCCTGCCGCCCAGAATACTTCAACTTCGGCCTCCAAGGGTCTTGCGTCCTTATCACGCGTCCTTACTATACGTTTTCACTGTAGGCTGGTTGCGGGGTTCTGACGATTGTTGGCATGCGCAACGCCTCCCCCAAGGTTGCCTACTCGATGTTGTTGTGGTCGCCTGCTGTCCCCGCAGGAACGGGCGGGCGATGCATCCAGACCCCCGCCGGGTCATGACGAACTCGAGACGGGGGGAGGGTCGGGGGCCGTTTTCGGCCTCTGGGGGCCCGCGCCGTGCCCCGGGACCGTCAAAGAGCGACTCAGGATGGACGACCGGTCCCGGTCATATCGGGGGCGGAAAAGAGGGGGGTGATGACTAGGGGGGGGTGGATATCATGGCGTGGGCCATGATATTTCCCCAGATTTCGTGGCGCCTCTTCTTGTTCCACTACGTCCCTGGCCCCCCCGCTGGGCCGCGCACATGCCGCCGGTCATGATTTGCCCCCCCCTCTTGGACAACCCCTCCTGGCCGCTCCCGGTAATAGGTCGAGACCTCTTGGGGTCGACTACTTTTGAACAGTATTCTGGCAATGGGCCCAACCATCTGCAATTTTGAATACCGTGTTGTGGCACTGCTCACGGTGGAGCGCCCAACGGGGCCGCGAATTGTGTGAGGGGTACGCCAAAATGGGGCGGCGCCGCCATGCGAACCCCGCAACTGGGGCCTTTGGTGGAGCTCCTCATGCGGCCACGAACCGTGTGAAGGGTGCGCCAAATTGGGGCGGCGCCGCCATGTGGACCCTGCTACCGGGGCCCTCGGCTGATCTCCTTCCTCAAGGATCCACGAACCGTGTGAGAGGTGCGCCAAAGTAAGGCGGCGCCGCCTTGTGGACCCTACCACTGGGGCTTTCGGTGGAGCTCCCTATGGGGCCACGAACCGTGTGAGTGGTGCGTCACAATTGGGCGGCGCCGCCTTTTGGACCCTGCCACTTGGGCCGTCAGTGGAGCTCCCGATGGGGCCACGAACCGTTGACGTGTGCGCCAACATAGGGCGGTGCCGCCATGTGGACCCTGCCGCTGGGGCCTTCGGTGGAGCTCCCTACGGGGCCAGTATATGTGTGAGGGGTGCTCAGAAATGGAGCGGCGCCGCCGTGTGGACCCTGCTTCTAGGGCCTTCGGCTGATCTCCCATGGTGCCACGAACCGGGTGACGTGTGCGCCAACATAGGGCGGCGCCGCTTTGTGGACCCTGCCGCTAGGGCCTTCGCTGGAGCTCCCTACGGGGCCAGTAACTGTGTGAGGGGTGCTCAAAAATGGAGCGGCGCCGCCGTGTGGACCCTGCTTCTAGGGCCTCCGGCTGATCTCCCGTCGTGCCACGAACTGTGTGAGGGGTGGGCCAAAATGGGACAGTGCTGCCCTGTGGACCCTGCCATTGGGGCCTTCGGTGGAGCTCCCTGTGGGGTCATGCACAGTGTGAATGGTGCGCCGCAATGGGGCGGCACTGGAATGTGGACCCTGCTACCTGTGCCTTCGGTGAAGCCCCATGTGGGGCTACGAACTGTGCGAGTGGTGCTCAAAAATGGGGCGGCACCGCAATGTGGACCCTGCAACTGGGGCCTTCGGTGGAGTTCCCTACGGGGCCACGAACTGTGTGAGGGGTGCGCCGAAATGGGGTTGCGCCATGTGGACCCTGTCACTGGGGCCTTCGGTGGAGCTCCCATGTTGCCACGAACTGTGTGAGGGATGGGCCAAAATTGGACGGTGCCGCCCTGTGGACCCTGCTTCTAGGGCCTTCGGTGGAGCTCCTTGTGGGGCCATGAACCGTGCGAATGGTGCGCCACAATGGGGCGGCACCGCAATGTGGACCCTGCTACCCGGGCCTTCGGAGGAGCTCCCTACGGGGCCAGTAACTGTGTGAGGGATGCGCCAAAGTGGGGCGGCGCCGCCACGTGGACCCTGCCGCTGGGGCCTTCGGTGGCGCTCCCTACGGGGCCGCGAACTTTGTGAGGGGTGCGTCAGAATGAGGGGGCGCCGCCATGTGGACCCTGCTTCAAGGGCCTTCGGTGAAGCTTCTCTGGGGCTACTGTTTGAGGGGTGCGCCAACAGGGGACGGCGCCGCCATGCGGACCCTGCCGCTGGGTTCTTCGGTGGAGCTCCCTACGGGGCCACAAAGCGTTGCACTGGGTGTGCCGAAGTACAGACATGCGGAGGGCAGAGGCAGGAATGAGCGGAGGGAGGCGCGGGAGGAGTAGGCGGGAGGGAAGGACTCGGGGCGCTGCCTCTCCAAAACGAGGACCCGGCACCACATGATGGCTGTGAAGTACGACGTCGGGGGTCTGGGGATGAGGTGTGTGGAAGCACGGTGGCCCCTCTTCGTGCTCGCTGAGGGGCCCTGCCACGGGCCCACCTGGGGCCCAACAGGGGCACGAAAGCTTGGCATCGCTCGGACGTGTGCATGTGTTGCTCGGCGAGGGCCATGGAGGAGCATCCTGGATGACTTAGCAAAGAAAAGCACGCACGAAATCGAAAAATACACGAGGAATGGACGTCCGAGCGATGGCAAGAAAGGTGCACGTTTCTTCGCCACCCCGACCACCGACCCCAGGCACCTCCGCAGGCCCTGTGTGGCACCCACCCCCACGGGGAAGCAGCATCTGGCGCGGATCGCTCATGGCCTCCACCCTCGTGGGAAGAGGCCCGCCCAAGACTGTCGCAGAAGCCATTCTCGAGGATCTGCGCCAGTAACTTCCACGGTCTCGACGTGCGCTGCCGCATGCCATATACAGTCGGTGCCCTGAAGAAGGAACCCTTTTCGTTGGGGAGGGGCTCCGTGTTCCTTGATTGCCTTACAGTTTTCCTCAGCTTTTCCCAAGGTTTTCCATGGGAAATCGAAGTTTAGCTCAAGGGAAAAAGGGGCCGCGTTCCTTATTTTGAGTTCCTTAGGTCAACGCCCCGACTGTATAGTCCCATAGTCGCAGACCTCCGATGCCTCGAGTTTCTCCGTGCGGGGCCCCTGGAGGTCTGGGCCTTCCCGCCGGGCCAGCCCTTCTTCCCGAGTCGTGTTTCGCCGTCCCGGGGCTCGGCGAGGGCTTCTCGCGCCTCGAGACCGACGACGACGACGACGACGACGACGACGACGACGACGACGACGACGACGACGAGGACGTTGCCGCAATAAGCGTCTGCCGGCTTGTCGGCCGAGCGCGCGGGTGCCGCCCGCCCAGGCCGATCGGGCGCTCGGGCAGCCAAGCTCCGTCGTCGTCGTCGCCGTCGTCGTCGCCGCCGTCGTCGTCGTCGTCGTCGTCGCCGTCGCCGTCGTCGTCGCCGTCGCCGTCGTCGTCGACGTCGTCGTCGCCGCCGCCGCCGTCGTCGTCGTCGTCGTCGTCGTCGCCGTCGCCGTCGTCGTCGGACGTTGCCGCAGTGTGCAACGCCCAAGGTTCTGGCGCCAGGAGGCGGGCGTGCGGCCAGTGCGCACCGCGGCGGCGGCTGCCGGGCTGTCGGGGCGGTAGGGCCGGGCGGGCTCCCTCGGGGGCGCGCTCCAGCGGGGAGCCGCGGGAGGGTAGGGCGGCCGCTGGGAGGGCTCGGCCTCGCATGAGAGTGGCCCTTTGCCGGAGTGACCCTCGGCGCGGGCCCACACCCAGAGATCCAGCGCTCCGACAAAATCAAGACGGAGGTTTTTCGCAGTTTCGGCCTCAGGGGGCCGTCTCCAGGCCCCGGGACCGCTCAAAAACGATTCAGGGTGAAAAAGCGGCCCTGGGGAAAGGGTCGGGACTTCAGGGACCCAATATTGAAAAATCAGGACGTCTCATGTCTAGGCTTCGTGCAGGCTCATAGGTGTCCCCCACACTCTGGCGTGCGCGCTAGGATTTGGCCTCCCCGCGGCCTTCCTTAAGCCGGGTACCCAAGATCGCTCTTGCCTAGGGTCACTCGTGCGGGGTAGCTGGAGGGCGGGCAGCGGGAAGGGTATCGGGGGCGGCTCAGAGGGAGGTGATGACTGGGAGGGTGTGCATATCATGGCGGGGGTAATGAGGGAAGGATCCTTCGCTCCGCGGGGGAGGGAAGAGTGGGGAGGAGCCGAAGGAGGACCAGTGTAAACTCAAGACGCATCAACGATATTGCAGTAAACCCTTTTTTGTTCCAAGTACCCTCTTCATATGCTCCTACACGGATTCATTGTTATTGAGGGAAATGCCCCGATGGAAGACAACTGTTTGAAATTCTGGAAGTGTGCCAGAATACCATCCCTGGGATTTCAACGCCGCGAATCACCGTTACTTTTGCGTCTTGACCATCCAGATCTGTGTTAGAACACCAGCCCTGGGATTTCAACATCGCGAATCAGCATGACTGTCGCGGCCTGACATTTCGACATCGTGCCGAAACACTATTTCTGGGACGCTGACCATGAGAATCTCCGAAATTTCTGGGAAATCTGAAGACGAATGCGCGCGGCGCTAGTGCGAGAGCCACAATTTGAAAAGGAACCGCCCTCCATCCGTGAAGCTCTTGCGAACTTTCAAAGCGAAGGTGCTCGGCGCTCAGGCGAGAGCCACAGTTTGAAAACGGACCGCCCTCTACCCGCGAAGCTCTTCGATTACTTTAGGACGAGTGTGCGCTGCACTACGGCGAGAGCCACATTTTGAAAGCGGACCGCCCTACATCCGTCAATCTCTTGCAAATCGTAAGTTCCAAGATCGTAAGCTCAATGGAAACATCAGGCGAAACGCCCTGCCCGCCCTTTCGACCGGCCTCGGGGCGCGACAGGGAGGAGTTATTCACAAGGAAAATGAATGGTGAGGAGAAGGAGGAGGAGGAGGAGGAGGAGGAGGAGGAGGAGGAGGAGGAAAAAGAGGAGGAGGAGAAGGAGGAGCTGGACCAGTGTAAACCCAAGACTCATCAAAGATGTTTTGAATACACCCTCCCTCCAAATTCCCTCTTGATAGGCCCCATAAGAGGGTTCATTGCCACTGCGGGAACTGCCCCGTTGGGAGGCAATCGTTTGAACAAATGCAAGCGTGCCAAAACACAATGTTCAGGATCTCATCGCCACGAGTTAACCTGACTGTTATATTTCTGCGATCCTGAACCGTGCCAGAACACCATTCCTGGGACTCCAACACCGCGAATCAACGTAACTCTTGCGCCCTGACAGTCCCGATTCGCTCCAAAGCACAATTCCTTGCACGTTAGCCATGAGACCCAATGAAGCGTTTGGACGTGTTTCAAACGAATGCGCGCTGTTCAAAGGCGAGAGCCACGTTTTGAAGAGGAGCCGCCTCAAGTCGTGAAGCCCCTTCATTTGTCCCAACCATCCTGTGGTGTTGGGTCCTCGTTTTGAAGTGACGGCGCCCCGCGTTCCTACTTCCCGCCCTCCTCCCCGTCCTCCCTCCTCCCTGCGTTTCACCCACCCAGTACAGCGCTTCGTGGCCCCATAGGGAGCTCCACCGAAGGCGCCAGCGGCAGGGTTCGCATGGCGGCCTCGGGCCATTTCGGCACACCCCTCACGAGGATCGTGGCGCCACAGGGAGCTCCACCGAAGGCCCCAGTGGCAGGGTTCGCATGGCGGCCTCGGGCCACTTCGACACACCCCTCACGAGGATGGTGGCCCCATAGGGAGCTCCACCGAAGGCGCCAGTGGCAGGGTTCGCATGGCGGCCTCGGGCCATTTCGGCACACCCCTCACGAATCCCGTGGCCCCACAGGGAGCTCCACCGAAGGCCCTCAGCGGCAGGGTTCGCAATGTCATGGGCGGCCTCGCGCCCCATTTTCGTTCGGCACACCCCACCGACACGAGGATCGTGGCCGCCCCATAGGGAGCCCTCCAAGCTCCCCAACCGAAGGCCGGCCAGCGGCCAGCGGCAGGGTTCGCATGGCGGCCTCGGGCCATTTCGGCACACCCCTCACGAGGATCGTGGCCTCATAGTTGTGCTGCTTCAACAACCGCGCCTGGGCGTCGTACTCCGCCGTGTCGACGTGCAACGCCACCTCCTCCCCAGAGGGGCGCCGTCCTTGTCGTCGTCGGCGCCCGCGAAGACGGCCACGAACGTGTTCCTGAGCACGTCGGGCTCCGGCAGGAAGCCGTGGCCACATAGGGAGCGCGGGCGAAGATGGTATCCATAATTGCGGTATTCACAACTGCATATGGTTGGGTCTTTCGCCAGGCTAATTTTCCCAACCGTTCCGTGGTGTTGGGTTTTCGTTTTGAAGAGACAGCGCCCCACGCTCCTTCCTTCCCGCTGCCCACTCCCTCCTCCCCTTCCTTCCTCCTCCCATCCGCCTCGTCATCGTCATCGTCATCATCCTCATAGGGAGCTCCACCGAAGGTCCAGCAGGGATCTTCCGCATGGCACCACCGCCTCATTTCGGCACGCCCCTCACGCGGTTCGTGGCGGCCCCATAGAGAGAGCTCCACTGAAGGCCCCAGCGGGAGCGTCCGCATGGCACACCCCTCACACGGTTCGTGGCCCCATCTGGAGTTCCGCCGAAAGCCCCATCGGGAGCGTCCGCATGGCACCGCCGCGCCATTTCGGCACACCCTTCACAAGGTTCGTGGCCCCATCGGGAGCTCCACCGAAGGCCCCAGCGGGAGCGTCCGCATGGCACCGCCGCCTCATTTCGGCACACCACTCACGCGGTTCGTGGCCCCATTGGGAGTTCCACCGAAGGCCTCAGTAGGAGCGTCCGCATGGCACCACCGCCTAATTTCGGCACACCCCTCACAAGGTTCGTGGCCTCATAGGGAGCTCCACTGAAGGCCCCAGCGGGAGCGTCCGCATGACACCGCCGCCTCATTTCGGCGCACCTCTCACACGGTTCGCGGCCTCATAGGGAATTCCACCGAAGGCCCCAGCGGGAACGTCCGCATGGCATTCGTGGCCCCATATGATAGGGAGCTCACCGAAGTCCCCAGCGGGAGTGTCCGCATGACACCGCCGCCCCATTCTGGCACACCCCTCGAACGGTTCGTGGCCTCATGGGAGCTCCGCCGAAGGCCCCAGCGGGAGCGTCCGCATGGTACCGCCGCCTCATTTCGGCACGCCGTTCAAAACGCTTCGCGGCCCATAACGGAAACTCCACCGAAAGCCCCAGTGGGGACGTCCGCATGGCACCGCCGCGCCATGTCGGCACACCCCCCTGAGTGAGCTCCACCGAAGGCCCCAGCGGGAGCGTCCACATGGCACCGCCACTTCATTTCGGCGCACCCCTCCTTCGTCACTTGTCCTTCGCGGCACTCGCAGCAGCATGTGGTTGGGTCCTTCGTCAGGCTAATTACAACGAGTGTGCACGGCGCCAAGGCGAGAGCTGCATTCTGAAAACGGCCCGCCCTCAATCCGCGAAACCCTTGCAATTTGTAGAACGAATGTTCGCGGTGTTGAGGCGAGAACCACATTTTGACAACGGCTCGCTTTCAATTGGTGAAGCTCTTGCACATGATTGAATAGAGTGTGCGCGGCGCTAAGGCGAGAGCTACATATTGAAAACCATCCGCCCTCCAACGTTGAAGCTGCTGTCAACTCTTAAGCTCCAGGGTCATCAATGGTGAGGGACTCTCAGGCGAAACGCCCAGACCGAACTTTCGACCACCGTCGGGGTGCGACAGGGACATGTTTTTGAAAAAGGAAAAGGAATGGAAGAGGACGGGGAAGGGGGTGATATCCTGCAGATTTCATGGTCCCCTCGTTTTCTTTCGCCAGGTCCCCTGGCCCCCGACGCGGAGCCAGCGATGTCGCCGCCGGCTTTCAAGGTTGAACGCCGCCAGTGGCCCAGAATTGGCCGATGCGGAGCTATCTGGCGATCGAGGGAACGCCATCTTTCAAGGTTGGACGATACGCGCGGTGTCAGAAAACAGTGCCCGGGTCATCACGACACGAACTTGCCGTAGGGTGGGCGTCGCAGGCGGGGCGCGGGCTGTGATGGGCGTTGCGGGCTGTAAGGGGTGGGTGGATGCGGCGGCCAAGAGGGGGTAAAGGCCAAGGGGGGTGCTTATCATGGTGCGGGACAGGATATCTCCCAGATCTCACGGCCCCCCTCTTTTTTTCTCTTCTTCTTCTTCTTCTTCTTCTTTCACTACGTCTCTTGGCCCCCCTTGGGACGCGCACGTGCCTCGGGCCATGATTTGCGAACCGCTTCTAACCGCTTCTTACGACGAAGACGCGCTCCCTCCTGGAAGCCTCCCCGGAGGTAGGCTGGGCGGGCGCCGCCAGCGGGGTGGGGGCTGTGATGGCGCTGCATGCTGGAAGGGGGTGGGCAGGGGGAGAGGGAGAGAGGAGAGGAATGAGGAGGATGAGGAGGAGGAGGAGAGGATGGGAGGAGGAGGAGGAGGAGGAGGCTTCCTCCCTGTGGCGGGACCCATCCAGCGCAGGAGGTGGCCGCAAGAGGCGGCCACGAGAGGCAGCGTGGCGAAGCCTCGGCGGACCACCGTGGTGCACGAGGCGGCCACGAGGCGGCCACGAGGCGGACACGAGGCGGCCACGGGGCGGCACCTCGGCGGCGCCGCCCGGCGCCCGAGGCGGCCACCGGGGCGGCCACGGGAAGCAGAGCGTGGATCGACCCCGCGGCGGGCCCGACGACCGAGCGCGCGAGGTTCCCACGGGGCGGCCGCGGGCGGCAGCGCGTCGAGGCCTCGCCAGGCCCACGCGGCCCACGGGGCGGCCACGGGGCGGCACCGCGGCGGCGCCTCGGCAGACCCGCCCAGCGCACGAGGCGGCCACGAGGTGGCAGCGTTGAGCATCCTCGCTGGACTTGGACTCATCCGAGGCCCGCGTGGCATGAGGAAGACTCCCTAAGCGCAAGCACCGCTCGGAAACGGTGTGCTCGAATCTGGAACGTCTCCTTCCTGGGTCTCTCCTTGGGTTACCCCGCCGGAGCAGCTCCGATGCGACCCGGCTCGTTGTGGTGAGGTCGGCGTGGTTGTGCCACTTACTCGGGCTCACTTGTGTGTTGGAGTCATGGTGTCCTCGTCTTCCCCGTCCATCTTGTCTTGATGTTGCTGCTCTTACCCTTCCTCATGTCATGCTGTCTTCGTGCTACCCTACGTTCCCCGATTTCCTTTGCAGAGGGCTTAACTCTTTAGGTAGAGCGCTGGGCCATCCTTGCCCGAGTGGCGGGGGGGCATGGTCAATTCCGGGTTGAACGGAGTATGATGAGGAACGGCAGTGAGGAGTGGGAGCGATGAGAACGAGGGATGGGAGACAAGACAACCAGGACATTGAGGGCGAAGGAGGAGGGAAGATAACGAGGAAGAGGAGGAGGAGGAGGAGGAGGAGGAGGAGGAGGAGGAGGAGGTGGAGGTGGAGGTGGAGGGGGAAGAGGGGCGAATGGGATGAGGCGGAGTAGGGTGAACACCAAGAGGAGGCGGAGAAGGAGGATAAGGACGTGGACGAGGAGGAAAATTACGAGCGCCGCCACAAGGAGGCGCTTCATGCATGCCCATTTCGTTTCTGCCCTCTGGGGCTCAGACACAAGCCTGGTGCCGCAGGCAAATCCTGCGGGCAGGCGGCCCCGTTAAGGGAGCGTTTTTCATCCACCCCCTCCCTCCTTCTGCTTCCTCCTCCGCGTCCCCCTCGTCGTCATCGACCTGCATCTCCCCCTCAGTACACCTCCTCCTCCACTCTCTCCCCCTCAACCTTTTCGCCCCCGCCCCTTCCGAACCCGCTCCCTGATCATCTTTCCCTCCTCCTCGCACTTCCCTCCTCCTCCCTGCTCCTCTCACCTCCTCCCTCCTCCCTCTTCCGCCCTCCTCCTCCCTCTTCCTCTCTTCGTCATCTCTCCCTCTCTTCTGTTCCTGTCTCAGGCGGCCCCCTTGAGGGACCACCCTTTTCCAGCATCCCGCGCCCTTGGTGGCCTTCCACTGGGGAGCTTGAGTGGGAGCGCTTGCGTTGCGACCACGAGGAGGGGGACGCCGACGAGGGAAAGGATGGTGGAGGAGGAGGAGGAGGAGGAGGAGGAGGAGGAGAAGGTGGAGGAGGAGGTAGGAGGAGGAAGAGGAGGAGGAGGAGGAGAAGGAGGAGGAGGAGGAGAATAGGGAAGGAGGAGAAGGAGGATGCGGAGGAGGAGGAGGAGGAGGAGGAGAAAGAGGAGGAGGAGGAGGAGGTGGAGGAGAGGGACGATGATGATGATGATGATGCTGCTGATACTGATGATGATGCTGCTGATGATGCTGATGCTGATGATGATGACGACGACGATGATGCTGCTACTGTTGCTGATGATACTGATGATTATGATGGCGATGATGATCATGCTGATGATGATGCTGATGATGATGATACTGATGATGCTGCTGCTGCTGCTGATGATGATGATGATGATGATGATGATGATGATGATGGTGCTGCTGATGATGATGCTGATGATGATGCTGCTGACGATGGTGACGACGATGATGATGCTGCTGATGTTGATGATGATGGTGGTGGGTGTGGTGATGGTGATGATGATGGTGGTGATGATGATATTGATGCTGGTGATGGTATTGATGATGACGATGATGGTGATGATGATTATGCTGATGATGATGATGATGAGGATGATGATGCTGATGATGATGATGATGATGATGATGATGATGATGATGATGATGATGATGATGATGATGATGATGTTGCTGCTGCTGGTGATGATGATGATGCTGATGCTGATGATGCTGATGATGATGATGATGACGAGGAGGATGATGATGATGCTGATGGTGATGATGATGACGAGTATGATGCTGATGCTGATGCTGATGCTGATGCTGATGTTGGTGATGATGCTGATGATGATGATGATGATGATGATGATGATGATGATGATGCTGATGATGATGATGATGATGATGCTGATGATGATGATGATGATGATGCTGAATGATGATGATGATGATGATGATGATGATGATGAGGAGGAGGAGGAGGAGGAGGAGGAGGTGAAGAAGGGGGAGAAGGAAAAGGAAAGTATGAGGAGCAGCGGGTGGGGGAGGCGGAGGCTGGAGATGAGGAGGAGGAGGAGAAATAGGAGAAGGAGGAGGCAGCGGAGGAGGGAGGAAATGGTGGTCCAGGACGGGGGGGAGGCGGAGGAGGAGGAGGAGGAGGAGGAGGAGGAGGAGGAGGAGGAGGAGGAGGAGGAGGAGGAGGAGGAGGAGGGATGTTTAGTGCACTCTCTGGACCTCGCGCTTTGCCTCCGCCAAGGCCGCGGGACGGGGCGATCAGCTCCACACTGTTTTTTTCTGACGCGACGTGCAGCCCGTGCCCTCAGACAGAGGGGGGTTCCACGCGGCTCTCCGCGCCAAGCACGCGACCCGCGGTACGCATCGCATGGCAGAAGAGCTTAGCCCAGGAACCTAGGCATCCTGCCGCTCCAATTTTTCGATACGTGGGCCCTGGAGGTCTGGACCACTTCCCCAGGGCCAGTCCTTCGTCCTGAGTGGTTTTTGACGGGCGATGGCCCCCAGAGGCCGAGCACAACCCACAAACCGGCCGCTCCAATGTTTTTGGAGCGTCGGATCTCTGAGGACGACTCCTTGCGCCAGGGGGCGTCCAGGGAGGGGGAGGAGGAGGCGACGTCTCTCGGCCTCTGGGCTCGACGGGTGGCGCAGGTGGCAATCGGGCCTGGTCCTCTCCAGAGAAAGGGCCCCGGCGCCACCCAACCGGATGCCACAGGCACAGGAGCACCTCATGCACCGCGTGGTCCTCCCTGGACGTCCCCCGTCTTCTTCCCCTCCTCCTGGTGCTTCGCTCCTTCCTCCTCGCCCCTCTCTTCCCCTCCGTCCTCCACCCTCTCTTCTTCCTCTCCTCCCTGATGTCGGCGGCGAGCGAGGGGGGGGGAGTGAGAAGGAGAAGGCCCTTTCAGAAGGCGGCCAGACTTCTCGGAAGCTCTCGCGCCTTCTGAGAGAGACCGGGACCTTATAATGTGTTCGTTCGTCTTTGTTATGTGTCGTCGTTTCCCTGTGTTCGTCCCCCAAGGCCCCGAGACCCTTTCAGACGAGCCCACCGGAGGACTTCCGATCCTTCTGGGAAGGCCCCGCACCCTCTTCACTCTTCCTTCACTTCTCTACCACTTTTCGCCCCGGAGCGCGCCGGCCGATCCTTGCTGCCCTTCTTTTTCGTGCTTATGCTTCTTTTGCTGCTCCTTTTTCCTTGCTTTGCTTGCTCTCTTGCTGCTTGCTGCTCTTCTTCTTTATCTTGCCTTCTGCTCTTGCTCTGCTGCCGCTGCGCCGCTTCCTCTACCCTGTCCCCCCTGTCCGCTCCCTTCCTCTATCTTGCTGCTCCCTCCTCTCCCCTTCGCTTTCTGTCTTCGTCTTTCTCCTCCCCGCACCATACATTCGGTCGGGGCGGCGGAAGAAGGGAACCCCTTTCTTCTCGCCCTTCTCGTTGGGGAGGGGCTCGGTGTTCCTTGATTGTTTTACAGCTTGGCTTGGGTTTTCCTGAGGTTTTCGATGGGACATCGAAGCTTAACTTTTGGGATCAAGGGGCCTCGTCCCTTGTTTAAGGTTCCTCAGGTCAACGCCCCGACTGTATCGCATCCCCTGCGTGCGGGCGGGGCCCGTGGGCGCCCCGGGAAGGCTGCCGGGGAGCCCGCGCGGCGGCCGACGGGCACGACGGGCAGGGCGAGGCACGAGTGATGGCGTGCTGCTGGGGCGAAGCCCTCCAGAAACTTTGCATCGCTCGGGCGTGTGCACTGTTCCTTCGGCGAGGGCCATCGGGGAGCATCCTTGATCGTGTGGCGAAAACACCGCGCACGAAGCCGAAAAAAACACGGGGAATGGACGTCCGAGCGATGGCCAGGGAAGGGTGTCCCAGGAAGGGGGGGGGCGGGGCTCGGCCGGGCCCAGGCAGAACGCGCCCGCCCTGCGCACAGGACGGCCCCCAGGAGGCCCCAACAGGTGACCAAGGGAGGTGTCCAGAGGGCGGCCCGAGAGGGGCTCCCAAGAGAGGGCTCCGAGGCCGCCCGAGAGCACTCCCAGAGAGCCCAAGACTGGCCAAGTGCGGTCGAAGATGGCCTCAGGTGGCCTCGAGAGGGCCCAGGAGGGCCCAGGAGGCCCCCAAGGGACCCCCCAGAGCCCCAGAGGCCCCAGGAGGCTAACCGTATGGTTTCTCTTTGGATTTTGTTTGCGATTCTTAGGGTTCTTGCCTTTTCGGATTTCCGACGGCCCAACGCGGCCCAACGTGCCCGACGGATCGCCCGAGGACGGCCCATGAGGCCCCCAAAAGGGTCCCAAGACGGCCCGAGCCCACCAAGACGGCCCAAGAGGCCCCCACGGCGGCCCAAGAGCCTACCGAGAGCCCCCCCCCCCCAGACGGCTTGAGGAGATGCAAACCATTGATTTCCCATGGGTTGTTCGGGTCCAAATCGGCCGAAGACGGCTCTGACGGCGCAGGAGGCTCCCAGAGAGGGCCCAAGAACGCCGTAAGATGCTCTAAACCTCCCAAGACTGCCCAAGAGCCGCCCAGGACGGCCCAACATGCTCCCAAAATGACCCCCGAGACAACATGTTCCTCAGGTGTTTCCTTGTTTGTTGGGTTCTTGTTGTTTCGGGTCTGAGGGCCTCCGAGTTTGCCCCAAGACGGGCCAGGAGGCTCCCAAGAGGGCCCCAAGACGGCCCACGATGAGCCCCAAGAGGGGCCCCAAGACACACATGAGGGCCCCCAGAAGAACCCTCCAGACGGCCCAATGACGGACGCAGCTCTGTGCCAAGGCTTCCCAAGAGCACCAGGTGACTGGAAAGCCCTTTCTACACAAGGCGTTACGCAAAAAGCTTTGAACGCCAAGTATCCCAAGAGCGAGCATTGGCGCAGAAGGCTCTCAAAGCCAATGCTCTCAAGAGCAAGTGGTGACGTAAACAGATCTGAACGCCAAGGCTCCCACTAGCGAGCTGTGACGTAAACAACTTCACACCAAGGCTCCTAAGAGCGAGCGGCTACGAACACTAATTCTTAACACCAAGGCTTCCAAGAGTGAGCGATGACGTGACACAGCTCTTCACACCAAGGCTCCAGAGAGCGAGCGGTGACGTAAACAAAGACTCAAGAGCGATCGGTGCCATGTGCTCTTTCTGGCAAGTTCCTGAGGCGCTCTTTCCGTTTGCCGGTCCAGGTGACGGAAAGAGCGCCAGCGAGATACATTCTGTAGTGGGGTCTTCAGCACCAATTGGGGCGGGGGTCCGGGGGGTTGGGGTTGGCGGAGCGCGATTGACGGAAAGAGCGCTAGCGTGAGACGTTCCGTTCAGGGCTTTAGCCCCTATGGGGTGGCGTTTGGCGGGGTGTGAATTTCGTAACACGCCCTCTGGGGGCCATGTTAGCTGCTTTTTGGGGCCCAGGAGGGGGGGGGGGGGGGCGCTCCGAGACGGCGCTGAAGAATGCTCAAGACCGCGCCAGAGTGCTTGGAGATAGCTTACGATGGCTTGAGGACGGTCCACGAGGGCCCCAAGGCGGCCCAAGACGCCTTCAAGAGACCTCCCGGAGGGCCCCAGGAGGCCAGAAACAATGATGTTGCTTAAGTTTGTAGCGGTGTTTCAAGTTCTCGCCTTCTCAGGCTTCCGACGGTCCAAGACGGCCCGAGATCGCCCCTTGACGACCCAAGAGGCCTTTGAGAGAGCCTCAAGACGGCCCACGAGAGCCCCAAGACGGCTACAGAGGGCCCGAAGACAGACTCAGGGAGACCCCAGAGGCTCCCAAGAGAGCGCCAGAGGGCCATGGGAAGCAGCCCCGAGGGCCAATGAGATATCCTCCTCCTCTTCCTCCTCCTCCTCCTCCTCTTCCTCCTCCTCCTCCTCTTCCTCCTCCACATATCCCTGTTCATCTATCCCTTATTATCTTCATCCCTCTCCCCTTCCCGACCCGCCATGCGTCGTAGTGTTGTCCTCTTCTCCTCGACCATTCGCCTCCTGCTCCTGTTCCTACTGATGTTGCGTTGTCCCCCCCTGTATTCCCATCCGCTTCCTTCTCCTTCATCCTCCCTCCCCCTCATTACTCCTCGTTCTTCCTCCTCGCTCCTCCTCCTCCTCCTCCTCCTCCTCCTCCTCCTCCTCCTTCTCCTCCTCCTCCTCGCTCCTCCTCCTTGTTCCTTCTCATATTTCCTCCTCTCCCCTCCTCGTTCCTCCTCCTCCTCCTTGCCCCTCCTCGTTCCTCCTCGTTCCTTCTCGCTCCCTCTTCGTCCCTGCTTCCTCCCCCCACCCCCTAGCCCCTCCCGCCCACCGCGACGACGACGACGACGAGGACGAGGACGACGAGGACAAGGACGACGTGGACGAGGACGAGGACGAGGACGAGGACGAGGAGGAGGAAGAGGACGAGGAGGAGGAGGAGGAGCAGGAGGACGACCTCGGCGACGACGAAAACGACGACGACCCCCCAGCGAGGCGCACCTGCAGGGCCGCGCGGCGGGTGAGGCGATGCCCGCGGAGGCGGACGAGCCCGAGCAGTGGAGGCTCGTCCCGCGCTGGAAGGACGAGGCGCGCTGGCCGCGACGCCGCCCTTCGAGGAGGAGGGGTGCGGGACGGGAAAATGACCACAGCCATTGCTTCTTGATTGCGCCGCGTTCCAGCCGGCCGAAAAAGAAGCAGTGGTTGTGGTCATTTCCCTGGTGCCAAGCTTAACGAAAATGACCACAACCACTGCTTTGTTTCTGCTGGCTGGAAGGCGGCAACAAAAGAAACGCTGTGGCTGTGGTCGTTTCCACGCCCCGGGAGGGGGACCCAGAGATCCGGCACAGTGAAAAACTCAAGGCGGCTGTGTTGTTCGCCATCTGCGGGCCCCGGATGCCCTCGCCGGGCGCCGGGACCTCCAAGCAACGATTCAGGATGAACAGCCAGTGCTGGGGAATGGGTCGAGACTTTGGGGGCCCCGCAGCGAAACAATCACGACGTCGGATCTCCGGGGGAGGTGGAACAGGAGGAGCGGGCAGGAGCAGGGGACAGAGGGGGAGGATGACAGGTGCAACCCCAAGACTCACCAACGAGGCCGCAATGAACCCTATCCTTCCAAGTCCCTTCCTCACAGGGTCGTGCAAAACTATGTATATAATCATTAGGAGAGATGTCCCGTTGGTAGACAGTCGCCAGTGGACACTCAGTCCTGCCCGAGCACATTCCTGGGACCTCAGTGTCGCGAATCATCGTGACTGCTGTGTCCTCACAACTTGCAATCGTGCCAGAAGACAATTCCAAGGACATTAGCGTCGCGAATCAACGTGACTGTTGCGCCCTGATAATCCTGAGTCGTGACAGAGCACAGGTCCTGTGACTTCAGCGTCGGGAATCAACGTGGTTCTTGCGCCCTGACATTCCCAGGTCTTGCCTGGACACGCATCCTGGAACTTCGGCCATACGAATGCTTGAAATGTTTGCGAACCTTCCCATCGAATGTGCGCGCCGCCGAAGCGAGAAACACGTGTTGAAAAAGAAGCGCCCTTCATCTTTGAAACCGTAGCAAACGTTCAAGACGGCTGTGTGCGGCGCTGGGGCGATAACCACATGTTGACAAACGCCCGCTCTCCATCCTTGAAACTGTTGCAGACTTAGGACACATGTGCGCGGCGCTGATACGAGAGCCATCTTGCGACCCCCTCATCCATCTTTAGAATTGTAAATGTGTAAGACGATTGTGCGCGGCGCTACGGCAGGAGCCTCATTTTCAAAACGACCCGCCCTTCGCTATTCAAACGAATGTGCGCATCACCGAGGCGAGAGCTACATTTCGAAAACGGCCCGCCCTCCAGCCGTGAGCTTTCATATTATTTAGGGTCGGGAATTATCGGGTGAAACATTCGGCCCTTCCTACCGACAAGTCTGGAGGTGCGACGGGGAGAAATTATTAGAAGGAGAAGGATGGAGAGGAACGGAGAAGGAGGAGGAAGAGGGAGTTGCAGGTTGAGGAAGAGGGGGAGAGGGGGAAGAGGAGGTCATCGTTTGTCATCCCGGGCACGCTACCACCGGTCCGCTATCAACTATCATGCATCAGGGGAAAAACCTGTTTCCTTTCTCCCTGATTGTTCTTCCACCTTCACCTCTTTCCTGCTTCCCTCACTTCTCGTCTCCATCTCTCCGCCTGCACCTCCTCTCCTCCTTCCAACCCTGCTGTCCTTTCTCTTTGCTTCCCTTCCTCCGTTCTTTGCCTCCTCCCCTTCCCATCCACTCTCCCCGCCCCTCCATTCCACGCCCCTCTTCTGCATCTCCTCTCTCTGACCCATTTTCATCCCCTCCTCCCTCGCCTCTCCCTCCCTCCCTCCTCCCTGGTCCGTGCTCGTTTCCTCCCCGTCCTGCTTCCTGCACACCTGCCTGCCTCCTCCCTGCCCCCTCCTCCCCGCCGGGGGGGGGGGGGGGGCAGCTCTCCCCCGCCGTCGGCGGCGGAAACCCGCCCCCAGGAGACTGAGCAGCTGCGGCGGAAGTGCAGGTCCCTGGAGGGGGCCCTGGAGCGGCGCGAGGCGCGGCAGCCTCGGGCTCCTCGTCGTCGTCCTCCTCCTCCTCCTCCTCCTCCTCCTCCTCCTCCTCCTCTCTTTCTCCTCCTCCTCCTCCTCACTCCTCATCACTTTTCTCATTCCTCTCCTCCTCCTCCGCCTCCTCCTCCTCCTCCTCCTCCTCCTCACTCCTCCTCCTCCTCCTCCTCCTCCTTTTCCTCCTTCCTCCTCATCCTCCCTCTTCTCCTCCTCTTATTCCTCCTCTTCCTCCTCCTCTTATTCCTCCTCTTCCTCCTCCTCTTCTCCTCTTCTCCTCCTTCTCCTCTTCTCCTCCTCCGCGGGGGGCGCAGGCGTAGGTAGGGAAGGGGGACTGGCGCCATTGGCCCCTCGAGGCCCAGCAGCTCGTCCGAGAACAGAAAAGGGAAGATGAAGGGGGGGGTCCTGTGGGAAGAGGGGCGGCGGGAGGAGGGGGAGGACTACGAGGGGAGAGACAAGGGTGGAGAGGGGGGTGCTGCTGACGGCAACGACGACGACGATACTGATGATGATGATGATGATGATGATGATGATGATGATGATGATGATGATGATGATGATGGTGATGATGATGATGATGATGATGATGATTATGATGATGATGATGATGGTGATGGTGATGGTGATGATGATGATGATGATGATGATGATGATGATGATGAGGATGATGATGATGATGATGCTGATGATGCTGATGATGGTGCGGATGATGATGATGATGATGATGATGATGATGATGATGATGATGAGGATGAGGATGAGGATGAGGATGAGGATGAGGATGAGGATAATGAGGATGATGTTGATGAGTACGATGAGTATGATGATGATGCTGGTGGTGATGATGATGACGACCATGAAGATGGTGATGATGGCGATGACGATACTGAAGCTGGTAATGGTCATGATGATGGTGATGATGACGGCGACGATGCTGCTGATGATGCTGATGCTGATGACGATGATGATTATGCTGATGATGATGATGATGATGATGAGGATGATGATGATGATGATGATGATGATGATGATGATGATGATGATGATGATGCTGATGATGATGATGATGATGATGATGATGATGTTGATGTTGATGTTGATGCTGTTGCTGCTGCTGATGATGCTGATGCTGATGCTGGTGATGACGAGAGGGTGCCAGGCCTGATGCTCCCGTCATGAGAATCAACCCAGGTGGGCGAGCATGTTGTCTCTCATCAGGCTCTGCGGTGCCAGCGTGATTTCGTTGTTAGCAGATCGGTACGCGTGCAGTACGAATGAATGAATGAAACATGCCTATTCGGCTGAGGGGGCCTAACGGTAATTTACTATCGACGGGTGCGTGGCTGAAGTGGGCTTCCGCGATGCGGATGGTTGTTGTTGCTGGTGTTGTTACTGTTGCTGTTGCTCTTATTGTGGTTGGTGGTTTTGGTGTTGGTAATGGTGTTGGTGTTGTTGTTGATGCTGTTGTGCTGTTGTTGTCGTTGTTGTCGTCATTGTTGTTGCTGCTGCTGTTATTATTATCATTGCTATTGCTGTTGATGATGATGATGTTGATGTTGTTGATGATGATGCTGATGATGATGATGATGATGATGATGATGATGATGATGATGATGATGATGATGATGATCATGCTGTGATTTTTTGTTTGGTGTCGTCGTCAGGCCCGCGACCCACTCGCGACCCACCCGCGACCCACCCGCGACCCACCCGCTACCCCCCAGCGACCCGCCCGCGACTCACCCCGCGACCCACCCGCGACCGACCCGCGATCCACCCTGCGACCTGCTCGCGACCCACCAGCGACCCACGCGCGACACACAGCGCGAGCCGCCCGCGACCCACCCGCGACCCACCCGCAACCCACCCGCGACCTGGCCTGCGATCCACGCGCTACCCTTTCCGCGACCCACCCGTGACCCACCCAAGACGCACCCGCGACCCAACCCGCGACCCACGCGCGACTCGCCCGCGACCCACCCGGGACCCACCCCGCACCCGCCCCCTCACGCTTATACATGTACATGGGCGCGATACATGTACATGGGCGCGATACATGTACATGTATGTATGTATGTATATATATACATATATATAGATGTGCGTACTGTACATGTAGTTATATCAAAGTGAAGGGGCCGAACGGTCATTCACTGTCCTTGGGTGCATGGCTGATTTGGAGTTCCGCGGTGCGTATTGCTGTTCCGTTGTTGTTTGCTGTTGTCCGTGAACCGCCCGCCCGACGCGACCTGGCCCGCGACTCGCTCGCGACCCGGCCGCGGCCCACCCGCGATCCACCCGCGACCCGCCCGCGACCCACCCGCGACCCACCCGCGGCCAACCCGCGACCCGCCCGCGACCCACTAGGACCCACCCACGACCCACGCGCGACCCACCCGCGACCCAACCCCACCCGGGACCGCCCGCGACCCACGCACGACGCACCCCGCGCCCGCCCCCATCACTCTTCTCCGCAACCGCGGGGTGCGACGTGGAGGAGTACGCCATTCATTCTTCGGTATGGCAGTTTGCCGTACGATATATCACGTGTTGAGACTTGTCGTTGCCACAGGGCCTGGTGTGACACGAACTGCTTCCGCACGGAGCGTTTGTATTGGGAAGGCCTTGCGGCCGGTGCCGCCGACCTTGACTGGGGGCGACGACGGCGGCGGCGGCGGCGACGACGCTGACGCTCTGGAGCTTCTCTTGGGGCTCGCTTGGGAGCCTCTTGGGCTCTGTTGGGGTTGAGGGCTGGTACGAGCTGCCACCGCACGGAGCGTCTCCATTCTCACAGGGCGCAGATGTCTGGCCCCCTCTGCGCCGAGCCCGGCCGTGGGCGGGCCGAGCGAGCTCGGCACGAGGGCAGCCTCGCCTCTCGGCACAGCCTCCGTGGCTTCGTCCATGTTGCTCTCTGGATAGGTCTCCTTGTCGCAGCGCTCCCGCCCGATCCGCACACAGTCGCCCGTCCTTACGGAGTAGGGATGGGCGACTTCCCAAGGGTACCCCTGCATCCTTGCCTCTTCGGTCATCTTCGTTCCATCCTCAACCACTTTGGATGGCCAGCCCCGCTCGAAGACCCTCGGCATGGGCGTCCAAGGCCCTGGCATCCTTACCGCGCATCCTTACTACCAGTTTCGACTGTAGTTACTGCTGACGTTCACATGCCCATCTGACGCGCCAGGCCTTTGCTTGATAGGAACACTCACCGAGCCCACTGCCTCACTTGAGGAGATGGGCTGCCCTCCGCTACGAGACACGGCATGGCCACAGTGGCGGAGTCGCCACCTGCCATGCCCAGCGTTCGATCCGCAGAGAGTTCTCGAGCTCACGCCCGTCCACCTGCTGTTCCTGCACTTGCCGCACACCCTCCGCGCTTTGTCTCGGCCCGCCTGCCGGCCGCTCACCTGCCGCCTCTCGGCAGTCGGGCCTCTTCCTCCTCCTCCGCGGCCGTTCTCTCCGAGGCGAGGATTTGCACATCACCAGCGCCCGGAGGGCCGACTTTTCGGAGGCCTCGACTGGCGGTGGGTATGGGCACCTCCGGGCCCCAGCCTGGGGCCCCAGTGCATCCGGGTCCCAGGACGTCGCTTCCACGGGCGGCGGGCACAGTCAACGCGCCTAGTAAGGACGCGCGCCTTCATTTAGGGTGCCCTTGTGTCCTTGCCTCTGAAGCCCGTCCTTGCCATTATCACTGGTCGCCCGCCGCCCTAAAAAACCCAACTTCGGCCTCCAAGGGTCTTGCGTCCTTGCCACCCGTCCTCAATACACGTCTTGACTGTATGGATCGATCCCCGCCTCGCACGCTCTATGCATTCCCTCCTCTCCCAGCGCTCCGCTCTCGGGGCGCCCTGCGCTGGACCCGCCCCCCGCGCCCGGCGACCGCTGGCGCTGCCGACCAAGAGCTCTCGAGCTCACGCTGCGCCTCGTCCGATCGGTGGTCGGTTGGACCACTGGGTGATGCACGCGCAACGCCGTTGTCGCCTTTCTCCCTGGCCTCCTCCTCCTCCTCCTCCTCCTCCTCCTCCTCCTCCTCCTCCTCCTCCTCCTCCTCCTCCTCCTCCTCCTCCCCCTCCTCCTCCTCTCCTCGTTCGGCGGCCGTCACTCTTGAGCTTGAGGGCGTCGGCTCAGGAACGCTGCCGGGCGGACAGGACCGACAGGGGGCAATCGTGTTCGCGTTGGCTCTGCGAGATCGCTCCCCTCCCTGGCGCCCCTCTTGGAGATCTCCGGATACACTTGGCTCCGCCACGACCTGCCTAGACGTGTCTCCATCTCCTTCCCATGGACCTCCACGTATCTGGCTCGGCCGTTGTCGCCTTTCTCCCTGGCCTCCTCCTCCTCCTCCTCCTCCTCCTCCTCCTCCTCCTCCCCCTCCTCCTCCTCCTCCTCCTCCTCCCCCTCCTCCCCCTCCTCCCCCTCCTCCCCCTGCTCCACGCCCACGCGTCGACCGGCGAGACGCCGTCGCGCCCCTCGGGGACTGACGCTGCCGGCCGCAAAGATCTCGAGCTCCGACCGGCCGGGCCCGGCCGCTCCGGAGGGTGCCTCGGGGCGCTCCAGGGCGCTCCGGAGAGCGCTCCGGAGAGCGCCCTGGAGCGACTGTTGTCCTGGGCCCGCCGGACCTCCCCCCCCCCTTCGGGGCCGCGCCCAAAGGAAAATAGTGAGAAGAAGAAGACGACGAAGAAGAAGACGAAGAAGAAGAAGAATACGGACAGTAGTAGTAATGAGAGGAAGACTACCTGTTTCTTCACTGCAGCCCTCGGATTCCGTACGCAAGTGCCCTCGGGGCCCGAGCGAAGCTGCAGGATGTGAGACAAGGAGGTGTGGCTGCGCCAGCCTGTCACTCCCTCTGTGCCAGCTTGCTCCTGCATGTGAGGAGAGGTGTCCCTCGAGCCGCCGCCAGGCCGCGCCTCCTCCGATCGGCCAGGCCGCCGGCCGGCGGCCGCGCCCGGGAGGCGCGCGGCTCCCTGGCGGGACGCGGCGCCCGCGCGCGCAGTCTGCCCGACGGCGTGCCGCGCGCGGCATCGCCCCCGGGCGGCAACCGGCGGTCTGCAGCGCCTCTCCTTCGCATGGTGAGTCGCGGCGTTGGAGTTAAGTCGGGCCTACAGGGGGATTTTTCGACGACAAATAAAAATACCCACAAAAATAGTCCAAAAATAGTCTGGGGACTATTTTTTGAATATTTTCAGATTTTGGGGCATTTCAAGGGTATTTTTTATTTTTCGTCGAAAATCCCCCTGTAGGGGGGCAGGCCCGACTTAACGCTGGAGTCCTAGGACTGGTGTTCCGGAGCAGCGCATGATTTCCACAGGGTTGTTCTCAAGCGGGGCGCCTCTTGCAATGCGAGCGAATCCTTGTGAGGGGGGCCTGTGAGGAGGGAGCTTGGAAAGATGGTTTATGGCAACGTCGTTGATGGGTCTGGGGTCTACACTGGTCTCCTTTCCTTTTTTCCTCCTCCTCCTCCTCCTCCTCCTCCTCCTCCTCCTCCTCCTCCTCCTCCTCCTCCTCCTCCTCCTCATCGTTCGAGCTCCGAGCTGATGGCATGTGCATCCGTCGCTCCCCCTCTTACGCCTCCTCCTCGTCTTCCTGTTTCCCCCCCTGCGGAGCCCCCTGCCACCCCGGCCGCGCGGTCCGCCGATCGGGCCGCGGTCGCTCCGCGGGCCGCCGCTCCAGGACCAGCGCGCTCGGCCGCCGAGGCCACGTCCGCCGCGCCGCGCAACGCCTCGGCAGCGAACCTTGTGAGACAGAGGACGAAAATGGTACCCATGCCCCTACTCCAAGACAGCTCAAATTAGACCCCCCCCCCGAATGTAACCCCCTCCACTTTGTTATGGAATCCGGAGTACCCTTCCCTCGCTTGCCCCTTTCCGGGCCTCCTGGGAGGCCCTCGTCGCCACCGCTGGACTCGCCTCGAAGTCCTTGCCAGAACGCACCCCGGGAGAGGTCCGGGGAGTGGCGGTATCGGTACCTTCTCTGGTGTCCCCAGTGAGCCGCGTGTGCCTCTGCAGATCCGTCTTTCGAGTGTGCTGGCGTGCGTTGGCGTCTGGTCCAGCGCGCTCGCTCCCGAGGGCCACGCCCGCCGCGCCGTGCAACGTCTCGGCAGCAGACCATGCGAGCCTTGTTTTCCTTTGCAACTCCGTCTTTAGAGTGCGTTGGGGTGCGCTAGCGTCTGGTACTTGATGACTTAACGCCAAGGGGGAACCGGAGGAGGAGGATGAGGAGGAGGAGGAGGAGGAGGAGGAGGAGGAGGGAGTCAAGGAAGATCAGTTGGAGCGGGAAGAGGAGGGCGCGGAGGCGGAGGAGGAGGAGGAGGAGGAGGAGGAGGAGGAGGAGGAGGGAGGAGGAGGAGGAGAGGAGGAGGAGGAGGCGGAGGAGGAGGAGCGAAGGAGGAGGAGCGAAGGAGGAGGAGTTAGGACGAGGAGGAGGGAGGATTATATGTGCTGGAGGAGGGGAACGAGGAAGAGCAGGAAGGGGGTGGAGGAGACGGAGGACATGCCCTTGGGCCGTGCCGCCAGGCAGAGGCCGCCGCGGAGCTGGAGCAGCGGCGCATGGCCGAGAGCGTTGCGGACCTCGAGCGGGGCGCACTGCGGGGCAAGGCGGAGGCCCCTTCGCCGCCGCCGTCGGAGGAAGGATGAGGACGGAGGGAGGAGGAGGAGGGAGGAGGAGGGAGGAGGAGGGAGGCTCGAGGCGGCAGGAGGGAGAGGTTGTAGAGGGGATAGATGAGGGAGAGGAGGACCAGGAGGAGGAGGAGGAGGAGGAGGAGAGGAGGAGGAGGGAGGAGGTGGTGGATGAGGAGGATACCCTCCTGCTCCTGCTGCTGCTCCCTCTCCTCCTGGTGCCTCCTCCTCCTCCTCCTCCTCCTCCTTCTCCTCCTCCTCCTCCTCCTCCTCCCCCTCCTCCTCATCGTCCTGATTATCGTAACCCTTCGCCTTCATTCTCCCTCCACTCGTCTCGAACTCACTGCAGAAGGAGGGGGTGGAAGGAGAGGGGGAACAGGATACGGGGGCAGGAAGGAAGGAATGAAGGAAGGACGGGCTTGCCCATTTTTAAGCTCGGCCTTCCTTATGCACGGGAGGGACCCCACCACGCGTTGCCCAAAACGTCTGCCCCCATCCTGGGGTCTCCGATGGACCTCCCTCCCCATCCGAGGGGGAGGAGGAGCAGGGGGATGCGGGGGAGAAGGAAGTTGGTGCGGGAGGAGTGGGACTTGGAGTACGGTCAGGAACTTGCTTGGCATATGTAGTCCTCCTCGTCCTCCTCCTCACTCACTCACTCACTCACTCACACACTCACTCACTCACTCACTCACTCACCCCATCGCGCACGCCGCGGTGCCCAGCACCCCCACAAGCGCGGCCGCGCCGCCGCGTCGCGCGACGCCGCGCCCGCCGAACCGCAACAGGGCGGGGCACCAGTGGACCCCGCAGGACAGGAGAGAAGGCTCCAGGGCCCGGGAGGAGGGGAAGGCGGGGACCCAGAGCCCAAGACACCCACGAGCACAGAGAGCCCAAGAGGGGCCGAGGCAGGGCCCAGCGCCAGAGCAGGGGAGGGGACGCCTCAGAGGGCGTGAGGGCAGAGGGGCGGGGGGCCCAAGGTCCCACGAGGACAAGGGGGGGGAGGGGCCTCAAGGGCCATGGAAAGGGAAGGTGGCGCAAGGCCTGAATCTACGCTCCATGCCGCTGCCACGCCGCGCCACCGCCCAGATAGCCAGCCGCCGTTCAGCCGCCAGCCGATCTTGAGGTTGGGCAGTGTTGAGGCGCGGGCGGCGTCTCGCCGGCGTCCGCTGTGGGACGGTGACGGTCGGCCGACCCTCAGCCCCACAAGGAAGAGGCCACGAAAGGGGCTACATGGGGCTCCTGTGGCCAAGGAGGGGGGGAAGGGGGGGCTGAGGGCTGCGGTCGGGAGCAACCTGTGGGCCTCAGCCCTCGCCCAGTGGGCCTCAAGCGCCCGCGCGGCCGCCCGCTCAGCCTCCCTCACGGGCTGGGGCTGCCGCGGCGCCTGGGGCTGCGCCGGGCGCGAGGCGATGCCCAGCGCCCGCGGGTTCGCCAGCCCGCCCGTCCGCCACCAGCGCCTGCAGCGCCACGGAGGAGCTCACTCAGCTCTCGCCTCCGGGGTGGTCCGGTGGCGCAGGTCCGGGCTACTGGCGTACACCGTTCTCCTGCACCCCGTTCGCGACGCACCGAGCGCCGGGAGCCCCGCCAGCGTGCGCGGGCGCGGGCGGTCTGCACGGCATGGTGGCAGGAGCAGGGCGCACGGGATGTGCATCTTGGCGGCCCTCTCCGTGACGTCGATGGCCACCCGCAGCTCGGCATTGTCTGTGGAGACCGCTTGCATCTTCGCCGAAGTCAGGTGCCGTGCTCCCCCCGGCGTCATCGTCTCCCGCAATGTATTCTATGTGTCTGGGTCCATCGTCCATGTCGAGCTCCTCGGTAGAACCACAGTGGCGCTGCACTGCTTCGCTATGGCGAACCATCGGGACCTTGCATTGAGCCCGTCGTGCAGGTCCAGGTCTTCGTCATGGGAGGCGGTCTCCAACAGTATGTAGTTGCCGTCCGTGTTGTCCCGAAGCTTCTTTTTTAGCGTCTGTTCCTTCTCGCTGTCGCCGTTGATCAGCCAGATGATGCGGTCACCGCCCGAAGTATCCCCGCTGGCCTCCAGGGGTCGCGTCGTGCCGTTGCCTTGCTCCAGTGATGTACCTCTTCGTGGTGTCGGGGGGTTTGCTGCAACGTCATCTGCGGCCTCTTGCACAAGGCGTCGGAAAGTTATGGACGCAGGCTTTATACGCTGTGGTTCCTCGGCAGGGCGTCGGAGTAGCGATGTCCTATCCGCGTCTTCGTCAGTGTGCGCTCGCCTCCTGGCGGGCTGCAGTGCCTTGTCTTCTCTCCATCCTCTGCTCTTCAGGTTCTTGATGGTCTTCGCGTCCCCGTCCATGAGCCTCTGCACGTCGGCACGGTCCATCGGGTCGCGGTTCGCAACGTAGGCGTTGAGGCATCCCGTGTTGCGGTTGGCGCAGATGCCGGTCGAGTCGCACACGATGCCGGCAACTCCGTGTCGCAGCATTCGCATCGGGATCCGACTGCGTGGAATTGGGCGTCGTCTGTGGGGAGATGTTTCTTGGTGCGGTGCCTCTTGAGGGACGCCTCTGTCGAGAAGGTAGCTCCACAATCGTAGCATACATAGTGCGTCACGTCGCGGTGCTGGTCCTGCTGGGAGTCGGGGGGGGGGGGAGATCGCCTACGTGTCTGCTGCCAAGCCCTTCTTCACGCGATCGTTCCCATGGCTGGTGCTTGCAGTCCTTCCCATGGCTGATGCTTGCAGTCCTCGGTCCACGCTCTTTTATGTGCCTCCCAGGCTCTCCTGGTTACCTCCACCATCTTCTTGGAGCCCGCCTTGCAGTAGTCGATCCAGCCCTCGACGTTGTCCTTCGGCGGTGGGCCTCCGTCGCGCGTGTGCTCGCACAGCCATCCGAAATCGCGCTTCAGCTGTGCGTGCCAGGGGCCGTCCGCCTGGTAGGCAAAGCCGAGCAGGTTGAGGAGCGTCTCGCCGCGAAGTGGGGACATGTTGTGGTCGCGTCCTCCTCCTCCTCCTCCTCCTCCTCCTCCTCCTCCTCCTCCTCCTCCTCCTCCTCCTCCTCCCCCCCACAAAAAAAAGGTTGAGGAGCGTCTCGGGAGCGTTGCGCACGGTGTTGTTGAGGTGTCGTAATCTGCGCGCTGTGGCTGCTGCGTCGAGCCCCGCTCGCTCCGTAGCGACGTGCACCTCCTGATCGGTCACATGCTGTGCGACCCGATTGCGGCAATGCAGTCCAGCTGCTGCACGATATCCTTTCACGCGTGCTGCTTTCAATTTCTTCCGGTCAACCGCCGTCATTCCGCACCCGAGCTCCGCTTGATATGTGAGCCGAGCGTTAGTCATAGCATCGACGAAGATAGATCCCTTTCTTGCCAGCAGGATGTCGTCCTTGAACACAGTCCGCAACATGGGGTCCAGTGCGCTCTTGTGGGCAATGACACGTCGTTGCACCTCGGGCCCCCATGAGCCCTCAGTGGTGATGGTAGTGCCCATGTGCTGGTATTCGCGTACGACGTCGACCTCTACGCCCCATATGTCGGTGGTCAGTGTGGTCGTTTTCTCGTAGAGGTGCAGCTTTGTCTGTCTAGCCTCGAGGCCGTTGATGCATAAGAGGGCCGCTGTCTTAATCTTCCCCCTAACTTGAGCTCCATCGTGTGTGTACGAACACGTTCGTATACTAAGTCCGCCAGGCGCTTGGTGCGTTCCAGGGTGTTGGCCAGCCCGCTCGATAGGATAGCGAAGGTGGTGTCGTCGGCGTACGTAGCGTCACTCACCTCCCTTGGTCCCCCTGTTGGGTTGGTTGTACGGCGAGTCGGCTTCCGTGGGTTCTGGCATGTATTCCTTGATCGAGCTCCTCCTCCTCCTCCTCCTCCTCATCCTCCTCCGCCTCCTCCTCCTCCTCTCTCCTACCCCCTACTCCCCCTCCTCCCCTTCCCCCCCCCCCACTCCTCCTCCTCATCCTCCTCCTCCTCCCCTCACTCCCCCTCCCCTCCTCCCCCTCCCCCCCCCCTCCCCCTCCCCCTCCTCCCCCATCCACCTCCCCCTCCCCCCCACCTACTCCCTCCAGGGTCGCGCCGCTGGTTCTGGCCCACCCCGCGGCGGCGCGGCACGCTGTCCACGCCGCGCCCCCCAGGCGTCAGCGCCCCGAGCTTTCCCTGTCCTGCCGCCCCCCGGAGGCGGAGCGACGCGCTGCCCGCCCGCAAGGCAGGGCGTGTCGCTGGGGCCGCGGCCCCGACACGCTAAAACCCCTCCTGCAGCGTGTCGCGCCGCTGGTTCTGGCCCACCCCGCGATCGCGCGGCACGCTGTCCAAGTCGCGGCAGCGCCCCGAGCTTTCCCTGTCCTCCCGCCCCCCCGAAGCGGAGCGACGCGCTACCCACCTGCAAGGCAGGGCCTGTCGCTGGGGCCGCGGCCCCGACACGCTAGAGCCCCCAATGTCTAGGCCTCCCAGATGGGGTCGGAGTAGATGCGGCTCGATGTGGAGCCCGATTCCTTCCACGCCGACGTCGCCGATGCATCGCCGACGTCGCCCATGCACGGACGATGCATCGCCGATGCATCGGTGATTCATTGGCGATGCGGCGCGATCCTCCGACCGTATCTGCGGTCGGACCGAGGTGTGAGATCGAGTTCGGTTCGGAGAGGGTGCCCTAATGTTCTTCGTGTTTGTCGGATGTTCTTGTGCATCCTGGGGAGGGTACCCCTGGATGTTCTGTCTGCTTTGGCCGGCGGATGGTCTCATGCTCTTGCAGGACGTTCTTCTGTCCTAATTAAGCCCGGCTCTGCTCGGACCCCATCGGGGAGGCCTCCAGTGGAGCTGGGCGGAGGATGTCAGCGAGGAGGGCCGGGCGGAGGCCGCGGAGCGCTGGCGCCA